TTTAAATCAACCCTGGCTTTCTCCCTCCAATTTACAAATATTTGCTGATGCAGTACACAGCCAAGGTGCTCCATTGGCAAACTGCTGGGGGTTCATAAATGGTACAGTCAGACCTGTGACTAGACCAGGAAAAAATCAACGTGTACTTTACAACGGTCATAAACGAGTACACGCCATAAAGTTTCAGTCCATAGCAGCCCCTAATGGACTAATTGCTAACTTGTATGGCCCAGTCGAAGGAAAACGACATGACAGTGCCATGCTGGCAATGTCTGGTATCTTGAATCAAATGCAGCAATACTCAATGAATCCTGAAGGAGATATACTTTGTGTGTATGGGGATCCAGCTTACCCTCTTAGACCACATCTTCAAGCTCCATACAAAGGGGCTGGGCTAACAGCAGACCAACTTGCATGGAACAAATCTATGAGCTCTGTCAGGGTGGCAGTAGAGTGGGTGTTTGGTGATGTTGTTAACTATTTTAAATTTGTAGACTTTAAGAAAAATCTTAAAGTTCACTTGAGTGCAGTGGGGAAAATGTATGTTTGTTCTGCCTTAATTCATAATGCACGCACTTGTCTATATCAGTCAACAATCTCCACTTATTTTCAGCTTGATCCACCTGCTTTAGATGAACATTTTTTTGACAATGAATGAAAAGAGGTATTATAAATGCTGTATTGTGCTGCAATGTTTACATAAGCGTTTGACATGTTTTAACAGAGTACAGAATGAATAGACCAAAACAATAACTAAAAACAACAATATTTAATACAAACAATACAAATAACAATGTAAGTTAGACCAAAAAATTAGTCCTAATCCTTCATTATTCTTATTTATGTTTATGTTTAGAAATATTAAATGTCTTATAAACACTGTCTTTCAACAGAACAATGATATGCAAACAAAAAATCAAATAAAACACAATGATTGTTACGGTTTTAGTTGAATTTTGTTGCAAACTTTTCAAATATAGCTACAAAAGAAGCACTTTGCTGCTGCTGCTGTAACATCATACCTTGAGTCACTTCAAATAGCTGTTTCATCTGTTGTTGTTGCATCATTTGGGAATTAGTTAACTGCATAACTTGTTGCTCATTCTGCTCTTTTTGGCGTTCAGCTTCAAGCCTTCTAATGCGTAGTTCTTCCTGCATAAGTTCGTAATGTCGTTCACTTTCCGTTCTTCTCAGCTCGACTTCATCAGCTTTCATTTTTATATCAATTTCGCCTTTTTCTCGCAGGTATCGCATGACATCCGATCCACTGGTCCTTTTCTTCTTTTAGCAGATGGCTCGTTATTTTCTTCCTCGCCATTCCTCTTTTCGTTTCTTTGAACGTTTCCATTGAGCAGCGACGCATTTCTACAGCCTTTTCAACTTCTGCCTGAGCTCTCTGTTTTTTCTCGAACGTGAGTTGTTCATTTAAATGATCAGCTTCCTCAAACTGAGCTATGATGTCCTCCATAGCCTCTACAAGTTCACTCTCTTCGGGTGAAATACCACTGGCTCTTTCTTCTTCTGATTGTTTTCTTTTGTATTTCTTTTCGAGCAGTTGATATCGATCGCGAACAGATCTCTGAGATACATGGAATTTTGGCATTTCCAAAGCATTGAGCGATTTAGCAATGTTTTCCCAAATTTGGCCTCTTTCAGTTGATCCTCTTCTGTGAATCCATGGTCTAAATAGCAAGATTTCTCGTGATAAAGCTATATCATGGCTTGAGGACCATTTCATAGATGCACGTGAAGCAACAGTAGTGCTACAAAGAGATATTCAGAAAAATATGTAAGCATTTTAAGCCATAAGTAGCCATTTAAGCGTAAAGGCTGAGTCAACCATAACCTCATTTACATATATTAAGCCAAAGATAACAAAACTCACCTCACCATTTGACAATCGAATGATTTTTGCAAGGTTTTTGATTTTTTTTCTCTGCCGTTCTGAAGCGACGCCAAAGTTGTTGTTTTCACGTCGGTTCCGTCTTTTCAAAACGTGTAAACAACGTACAGATGGTGCGTGCGCATGCTCAGTTAAAAAAAGGGATCAAACTCCGGTGCCGTCGCAGTTGCCGTTGTCGCATCGTAAGGTCCCTAGTCAACAACAACAACAACAGTCCTTCTCATGACTATACCAACCTGGACGATCAACATTTACAAACATGTAATAATTTCTTTCATAGTGTTGTAGAAAATAATGCAATAGCAAGTATTGTCAAAGTTGTCGCAAGCAATAGTGTGCCCAATAAGCAGATATTTACATTTTTTTACGATATTGTCAGCAATATTTATCAAAAGAAAAAAATTGGAAATATAAAATATTTTCAGTACCATTAAATAGATTAACATGAGATGAGTGAAGAAGTATATTATACAGTTTACTTTTAGTCACTCGTTTATGAAGCATCAATTAGTATTTTTTACCATGATGCTGACACAGAATTTTGAGATGTTAACTGAAATCATTGATTTGAAACATTAGTACCTGGATAGAGCTTCTACATATGAAAATTGAAACGAGTTTAGATTTTACTCACCCGATTCTTAGGACCACTCAAATAAAATATGGCGTAGAGTTGACTGAGCGATTGCGACGATGGTTTATCCAAGATTACTTGTACATCAATAGCAGCAGTTTTGAGAGTAACAATTGTTGTAGCATGGACAAAGGATGGTCGCAATCGCTCTGCTAACTCTACACCATATTGTAATTGAGTGGTCCCAAGAATCGATTGTGTAAAATCAAAACTGGCTTCAATTTTCACACAGTAACCAAGTCTCACAGTAACCAAGTCTCACGCTTTTCGACGCAATCTCACGCAACCACGCCATTTAGACAAAATATCACTCTTTTTTAAATATTACAACTCGCGGAAAATTTTTTAATTGAGATGGAGACGAACGCTAATCGTCCATATGCTCACCGTCACAGCTGGATCTCATCTATCCCATTACGTACCCAGATCTTCCGGTCCATGTTCTTGGGAGATCTGGGTTCAAGATTAGAAATTTTCAAAATGGCGTCGAACTCGTCAGATGAATCAAGCAGCGAAGTCTTCGCTCTTGAAGAGTGTGGAGTTCATGCAGACCCCCTAGTCTAGAAGTGGGCATGCCCTCAGACCCCCTAGTCTAGAAGTTCGGCCATCCGGGCCTCACTATTGCCCCTTCGGGGTGATTACATTTCTCACTCCATACAAACCAAAAACCTTGTCATCTATGTTTTTATAATGGTTTCATACGCAGAAGCTCTATCCAGGTACTATTTTTTCAGATCAATGACTTATACCACAAGCAGACCTGCCAGCTTGCCCAACTTTATCGGCTGTCACCTAAATCTAAAAACGAATTTCCAGAACAACAGATTTTCCATCACTTTAACCTTTCTTTAAAGTGGTACTATGACGAAAACTGAACGTTAAAAAATCATCGATTTTAGCATTCAATAGTTTAAACACATATCAATTATTGCTTTCGTAAAATTTAAGCAAAAATAATAGTATAACGAGGGAGTTATGAACATTTGAAATGTCTAATTTTCATGTCCGCCATTAAAATCGGCCATTTTGAATATTTGCAATCAGCAAAGGCCTGTGACGTCATAGTCTTAACACAGCAAGAAGCGCACATTGGAAAGTATACAAAGTAATACATAAATAGAGCAAAAAATGTCAAATTCATCGAGATCTAGCTCGCTTTCTGAGACTTCGATCGAGACAAACGCATCGATTTCTTCATCGGAATTCATGACGGCAAATTCGGACGAATCTAATTCGGAAATTTTGCCATTTGCCGATAATATTGAACCGCTTGCTTCACCCGATGAAATTGCTGAGTACGAAGCTGCAGTCGCAGAAGAACGGCAGGTTGAGGACATGCTGCAAGATCGTTTTGATTCCCGTGTTGATGTTACTTCATGGTAAGATGTCATTCTTAGTGTGTTACTTTAATCTGAATCGTCTGCCGTTAGCTATGATAACTTTATGAAAACATACAATTTGGCCAATATTAAAGGTGTGAATGTGGCCTTTGTTCGTTGGATCTTGTTGTCAACCCTCAAGAGTGCCGATGCTGCATGGAAATAGAGCAATGCCGTGGTAAAATGTATCAGTTCGAAGTCGATGAAGGGAAATGCATTTTGGATCACCCTGGCTTTAACGAAGTTTGCCTGAACGAATTTGTTCTTCAAGCAGCTTCGTTAGGTTTAAAGACCAAAGGTCATCGCAGTTATGCGACCGTTTTTCGAGATGGTCAAAAGACCAGAGAGGAGTAAGCCTTTTTCTTTGTGAAAATTCTAAAAATATTATTTTGTGCGCCTGCATCTATGTTTACTTTTTGAAATTTATAGGTTCTTTCGAGCAGTATCGTACAGACAACTCGTGCGTCTTGTATGGGACTTTACAGGCAGCTCCAGACATTTGCCACTGCCTTGTTGCTGTTACAACAAAATACGGACGACATTTCCGAACAACAAGTGTCTTCCTTACAAAGGATTCGAAGAGGATGAGGACATATAGCATTGTAAAAAGGTGATGGAAAAAGCCATCATAGGTGGTATATTTACAAATATACATTTATATTATTGACAACTGCCCTTCTTGTGACCTTTCATAGGCTTTGCACATTTCTTGCACAATGGATTTCTTTTTTTGGCTGTATGCTCTTGACCTGTACCAAGCAAATCTTGTAATTCTTCATCTGTGCATGTGGGGGGACAGTCAGTGTTAAGTTTACGTTTTCGAGAACGAAACAAAGTAATTGCATCAACTTTTGCTTGCTTTTCAGAAAGCATTATGTGCATTGGCTCTGGAGTGAAAAAACATTGAAATTTGTTTTTATTACTATAGTCTCCTTTTGTGAATTGAAACTTTAAACGTAAATAATGTATACTGTGGTCAGTTCTTTCATCGGTTACAGTTTCTCTTGTTATTAAATTAGTCGTCCGTATCCATTGCGTTTGATTGATAGCTAATTTCGTGTGCAGTTTTGTAAGCTCTCCATGCAACATCTTTAATTCACTATCTTTTTTCTTGCAACTGTCACAGGACGCCGTAGCATGATCTTGAAAGTTTAAAAATGTCTACAAAAGTTATACAAAATTATATTTCAAAGATACAAACCGGTTCATTTTCTTTGTTTTCCGTGTAATTAGGTGCATCGGGCGTGATCTGTTGGTCCTGTAAGAATATTGAGGAATAGTTGTTTTACAAAGTGCACGTATGTGTGAAGAGCAATTGTTGGCTTTACGTATGCATCATTCTCAAATTGGTCTGGAATTTCAGTTGTGCCTTTTTCTTCTTGAAATTAGCACGAATCTTTTTTCTTCATGCATGATACAGACACTTCATTTTGTATTTCCTTTAAAACCTTAGTATAAATGTATATTATATATTGAAAGTTTGCCTGGATGTATTATTGGTTCTCTCAAATTGTGAAAATTTATCATCTGCAATATGTGTAAGTATATAATAGTTGTAACTTGTGCTAACCTGACGCCGCTCTCTTGACGTTGTTGGTGTTGGCGATTTCTTCCAAATAGTAGGTACGGCACCAGGTTTGAGCCGTCTAGTCATACCACCCAAATGGAAAAAACGCTCAAAACAATCATCCGAGAAGTGATTCGAACAAATCATAAATCGAATTTCGCGCGAACTCGGATTAAAGTTTGCGCGCTTCGTCTCAACAGATTTAACCCAAATTCTTCTTAAAGACTCGTCGTTTGGGCTTTTATGTAATGAAATGCCTGTACTTCTATCAGACGTATTACTGCAATCTTGCACGACACAGCGTGTTGAAGGCATGTTAAAAAAATTGAGTTATACAACCTTTTATATCTCTATTTGTATATAGTGTTATATTGTAAACAGCCGCAAGTTAAGAATATAACGTCACAAGCACCTTCCTTCCTGAAAATTCAAATATGGCGCATTTTAATGGCGGCTCTTAAAGTACAAGTTTTATCGCTACGTAACTCGAGCAGCATTAAATACATTGCGCTAAAATTTCGCCAGAAGAGATTTTTTTACATACAGTATTAATCTATGAAAAAAAAACGGGAGGCAAAATTTTCGTCATAGTACCACTTTAATGACATATATTTTGTGATATAATTTTGAACGAATCAGGTCGGACTGAGTGTATGGCAAAAATATTGAGCTTTTATAGGTTTTGCGTTCAAATCTTTCACACAAATTGTATGAACAGGAAATTTACCTTGGTTTTCTGTTTATACACAATTATTTTTTTCCGAGTTCTTCTGCTCGTCAATGTAATGGTATATACAGTTCTCAATTAAACACTCACTCAAACTTGATTCGTTCAAAATACACATTTACTAAATGCATGTTACTGCAAAAGTTTTAAACAGGTGAATATGATTGCGAATCTGGTGCTCAAGAGATTTGTGTTAGGATTTAGGTGACAGCCGGTAAAACGGTGTGAGTTAGCATGTCTGTCTTTTTTATAAGACAAGACATATCAGCTTTATGATAAAAATGAATGACCGAAAGAAAACGGTTTGATGTATTTTTTTAACAAACTGAAGTTAGTCTATCTAATTGCACTTATAGTTTTCGGAATTTGCAAAGTTTTGATTTTGATAATCATTGATGACGTCATCGTGAATAGATGGTAAATTTCTTGTTATTGTGCACACTGGATGCTTTTCAGCCATAATGATTACATGATTTATGATGACACCGTAAAATTATTCAATAGTTGTTGGATGCGTACAGAAAAATTTTGAGCTCATTGGTCGACGGCCTAAAACTTTTTGCTTCGTGTGTCCCTCGAACTGCTAATTTTTCAAGATAAAGGGTGATTAATCTTGTGAAGCATGTGAAGTTAACAACACAATATGAATGTTTTTTCTGTAGTATTTTTGTTTGTAATCGATCGTTGCTAACAACTTGACAAAGGATGAGCGACAAGCACTCAAACGAAAAAATGACGCGTGATTGGGGTAATGGACAAGACTTATTATTTCGACAAAATGGAGACACTTGTTAATGACAGACAAACGTACAAAAAACACAAACGAAACCCAACAACATCACTACTACGCAAACTTAACAGAAAGATCTTCTCTTTGAGAAAGTTTAACATCATATCTGAACATACTTACTATCGATTTAGTTGTTCTGTACCACGAGCACCTAAACTTTACTGACTACCTAAACTTCAGAAACCACAAATACCCTTGCGACGAATTGCATAATTCTGTGGGTCGCCTACTTACGAACTTTCACAGTACTAGACCGACATAATGAAACCACTTACAAGCAAATCAAAACACAAACTAAAATCCACTGTGCTTGTGTTTTGCACATTTTCATGGTGTAATTACAGGAAAACTGCATTCCAGTCAACCAATAACAGTCGAGAAATATCTCAGGGTAAATTATTAATTGAGTTAAGCGCAGGTCACACAATCGTTGAAATGCAACCAATTTCGTGATGATTTGGTCGTTAACGAAAAAATATGACGACACGGACACGGCCGAATTCATCGACGATGAGCATGCACACCGAAATCATCATCGAGTGACGAGTGATCTTCTCCGATTGGACGTAAAGCTTCACATGACTAATGTGTGCTCACTGTTGTAGAGGCAACATGGCAGATTGGCAAGAAATGCTTATTTTTATACTTATCATGTCGCCTTCAATTTATTGGATGCACCCAAAGCCTCCTTTCTGATAGCCATTGTTGTTTAGACGGTAAAAGCAGTAATATTTCCTTTTTATTATTATTACAAACGCTGAATATTTATATTTGGTAATAGATTTATGTGAAGAATCGTTGGAGCGATGCACTTCAAATAGCGCTTCCCAAAATCATTTGGCAGATCTTAAAATATTTAGCAGATCTTCCCAGTGGCTCAAGTCCTATTTTTTAACGGGATTTAAGACTCTCAGAACGTTCTTCGAGATGTACAAGGTATCTTTTTAATCGCTGACTTTGCTATAAGTCAAAAATTATTAAATGAAAATTCGAAATATGAGAGCGGATAGAGAGGAGCTAAAAAAAATAGCTCCAGAATCATATGAAGAAGTGAATGTATCAATTAACTCATCCCGCCATAAGGAACAGTCTGATCTTATGGTAGGTGTTTGTTGTTGAATTTTAAATATTGTTGAATTCTGCAATGATCATTTCATGCACATTTCTTTCGTACTATTTTGTGTTTTTCTTTTTAAAAGTGCAAATGAAACAAAATTTGTGCTATTTAGATTATATTTTCATTCAAATTAATTTTCAAAAGGACATTCCATATTCTGAAACAAATAATTCATATCGCTTTTCATTTTAAAGCTATCGAAGTTTATGTAATGTCCTCTTTACAATTGGCGTATAATGGCATTTTTATAAACCTTCAACAATAATATTCATGTTAACGTTAATTTAATACATATGATTTAAAATAATTCGCATGAATTTAAGCTCAGTGAATGCTTTATAGTTATTCGATAGGTGGGCCAACATTGGTACGATCAACCAAGACTGCAACCAGAATTATTGAAAACGATTGGCTATCCAAAGAAGTATTTTCTCAAAAATTTTTACGAATCTTCCTGTTCGAGTGCATGCGGCTGTGAAGTCAAACGATGAATGGAAGAACAAACCAGAACTTAAGAATTTTTCAATTTCAATTAAATTGACATGGTCAATGAACATTTAAAAGACATTTCATTCGCTGATTTGTTTGTGTTTTTCTTTATTAAAGCCATTATTTTAAAACCTTCGCAGCTGAAGCCAAACTTCTTGGAACTTTGTTAGCTTAAACAACATGCTTCATATTTAAACCTATGTGCTACAATTTCTTTTTAGCTGTGTCATTTTCTTGCTGACGCTATTTCATAAGAGCTTCTTGATAACATATAATTCCCAAAACAAAGTGGATATAATTTGCAACAATTTTAGCTACTGTCAGATAAACTATCGGAAGTATAACTCCTACTCACTATTCAAACCAATTTTTTTTGCAAATCTTGAGAATTGATGACTTAAGCAACTTTTTTAACTGTCCAGTTGTTTTTTTATATACATCCTGTATAAATGTGTAAAGAATGTTGAAAATGACATTTGTCGTCATTTTTGGTTTTGATTTTACTCAATCTAGCCAATTTTATTGGAATAGAATTACACAGATGTTCACCTTAGTACAAAAAGCTATTTTTAATGCAATTTGTCTGGAGGCATGGCAGAGAAGACAGTTGACGATGAAAATATTTTAAAGACCGTCATTTACACTTTAGCTTTTGAGTAAAAAGATCTTTCAATGTCTCAAGATCATTTTTATTCAGAAATTTGTTCATTCGTTTTCCTTTTACTTTCTTTCTTCTTTCTCCAAGTAGTTCCCAGCCTAATGTTTGGATGGTAATAGAACGATCTGCATCCAGTGGCAGCGGAAGTATCTTAAAATTGGGGGGGGGGGCACCGACCGAAAAGGGCATGTGAGTTTGCAGCTTACTGTTTTAGCATATTACAGATATAAATTGTTTCATGAATCATGATTAAGTTTCAAAGTCTGCAAAATATTGGTAGACATTCTTAGAATACCATGCGTATTCTCTACTGCTCGGCGTGCGTGCTAACAAATTGAACTAGGATGTCTACATGAACAATTCTATTAAGTAATGCGATCTCATTACAAATTCTCAAAAAATCTAACCCTACGTTCGTTTTTGAGAACAAAGTCCTTAGCTATTAAACGTAAGTCCAGTTCGTCAGTTCTGGCCTTGTTTACATGCATAACATTAAGATTATTGTAGCGTGCTGCCGTCATTGGGCTCCTGAGATGTGTCTTGACAAGCCGCACTTGCCCCCAATGCCCCCCTGTCTCCGCGGCCTCTGTCTGCATCGCTATTTAAGTTCAAGATAATACGAACAGCTCGCTATGAAGTTTTCACCTCACTCTTTTTGTGTTTTGACTACGTAGAATATTTCACACATCACAACAATAATCAAAGTGTAGGAAGAAGCGTATTGTTTTGTTTGTTCACAAAAACTAGACAAGTAAAATGAAATTCTCCTTTTCAATCATGACATTCCAGTGCTAGATATTTCACTTCATCAGTTATGTTGAATGTAAATGGATGTATCAATGATAAATGAACCTTTACATGAAAAAATAGAACAGACGTCAACACAAACTAGGGACGAAAGACAAATTATTAAACAGGAGCTCGGTGTCAGCCCTGTTTTAATTTTCGCATTTTACTTGTGTTGAATGAATTAAAAACAAAAGACAATGAGGAAATTGTTCCCCTTTTTATTTTGATTTAATTGCATT